CCCGCCTTCAGCTTCTTCTACGGCTTGCCTTTCACCCTTGTCAATGACTGCGAAGCGAAAATGGGGACAGCCATTTTGGCTAACCTGCAGCACGCACTCCGAAATATGGCTGTGTTGCTCATGGTTGGTCTTTTCACACTGGTGAGTCTGATTCAGAACTAAGTAAACCCCACTGCATTGAATGCTGCTGTTTTGGTTATACAGTATTTATTTAGATGACCTTCACAATTCGCTTTAACCTGGAAACTAGAAATGAAACAAAACTCATTTGGTAATTCACACAAAAGGAGATATTTGCTTAGTGTTTGAACTCTTCAAGTAAGAGAAAAGAACGAGTGTTCCAAATCAAGGTTTAGTTCCAGTTTAGACATATATTGGGTACTATTGCACTCAATAGTTTTCCTGATTCACCAGTACTGGGCCAACTCCTGGTTTCAAAATGGCTGTGCCCATGAAGTTAGGCTTTGTTTCCCACAAAAAACATCCCCCCAAAAATAGGTTCAGTGATTGATGGAGGACTCGGTGCCAGTGAAGCTGCATGTTAATGTTAGGAAATATTATTCATCATCTTTCGTGAAATATAGATAAATTTGATAGTTGTTGGAAATAAACTAAAATCTCAGGAAAACAACAATTTCTGCAAAAACACGTATTGAGAAGAAGTAATTATAGCCATATAAATCACAAAGATATATCAATCCCTCATATTTTACTGCAGCCATAAACCTCCAAATCACTCACCTGCAAAATGACAAAAATGGAGTCCTCCCACTCCACTTCTCTTTAGATCCCTTCATTGCCCCGTGAAGTTGACACCTGCTCACGTACGCTTTCTTTCCGGAAGAGTCGCGTGTTTTCCGCCTTGCTTGACTACCCAGTTGAACCGCGCAGCATCGACTGCGGTCCAATTTTTGCAACATCTACTGCAGCTGAACCTTTGCAGAATCTACTGCAGCCGAACCTTTGCAGCATCGACTGCAGCTGAACTGCCTCCGCAAATAGAAATTCCTTGATTGTCTTTTCCTTACATTCTGGCTCTACTAAGCCAAGTAAAATACACTTGCTTTCCTTTTCAATCCCCCTGCTTCACCCTGATCGTCATGGTAACATACTGTACCGTAGGTAGATATGATATACCCGCTCCGAATGAATGAAACACCTGGTGCACTTGTGTCTGTACACAGGTGTGCGTTTCCGCTTGCGGTCTTGTGGACATCAAGCCGTGGCTCTTGGTGGTGCTCATTTTGTTGAGCTTCCTGGTTCTTGCCGTGTGGTACGTCCCATTTGGACAATTAGCCAGGTGGAACTGCATCATCATGAGGGACCAGGAGGTGGTGGAGCAGCCAATGACACTGGAGACGCTACCCCACAGGATGCTGACTGAAGCGCAGCGTTTCATCGAGAGGTTAGAACGCTGGAAAACATGCATGGCAGGCTCATGGAACACTCTAAATCAATGGTGTCAAACTCAAGGCCCGGGGGCCAGATGTGGCCCGCCACATCATTTTATGTGGCCCGCGAAAGCAAATCAAAAATGTCAACTTCCATGATGTTTGCTAAAATCTCTACCAAAATGTTAAATTCTCACATGTAATAAGAGACATATTGTAAGCATTTTCTTGTTACCAAACCCCTCATTACAGTAACTTAAATAATAGTGGAATACACCGCAATGATTGACTTTTTATACAGTTTCAGTCATAACGGCCCGCCAACGGAAACGGTAACAAAAATGAGTTTGACTCTAATTTAGACTCTAAATTGTCCCCATGTGTGAGTTTGAGCGTGGTCTGCTAAGGGCTGGCAACCTACAGCCTGAAAACTGCTGGGACATGCTCCAGGACTCCCGTGACCCTTGTGAGGATAAGCGGTTTAGAAAATGGATGGATCGACATTTAGTTCTCTTGATCTCTTATTCAACATGCCCAGGAAATCACAATGTCCCATTACTAGTGGGGTATTGACACAAATAGTCAGCTTTTTTTAAGAGGTTAACCTCTAACATAGAGCCATCACGCTACTCAAAATCATAATGCCCATTTATACGGTACAATGTAGTGTTTTATTAACAAGTTGTAAACCTTTGATCCGGGGTATATGATTCCAAGCTGCAAATATTTTGCTGAGGTCGGCAAGCTCTACATAAGAAAAGAGTGTGAGAGAGTTGCTGTATTGCTTTCTGACTCTAAAACATTTTTCCCTCTGCAATTTCTTTAAGGCCTTCCCAGCTAGCACCTCTCATCCTGTTCCTGGTGCTAGCGAGCAACCATCAGGTCAGTGCAAATTGACATTATAGTCCCGCACCTATGGACAAATACATGGTAGTAGCTTCCTGTTGTCGTCCCATATGTTCCATTTACAGGACCCCCAACATAGACAGGCTGGCCTCAGAGGGAGTGAAGCTGACTCAGCACATCGCAGCCGCTCCACTTTGCACCCCGAGCCGGGCAGCTTTCATGACGGGACGCTACGCTGTCCGCTCAGGTCTCCTAATGAAGATTTTTCAAATTTACTTGTCCTCTTAGTTTGTTTACATTCACCTCGTTTCAGGGATGGCAGCGGAAGGTCGAGCACGGGTTAACTTATTCCTGGCGGGTTCAGGCGGGCTGCTACCCGAGGAGACTACTTTTGCCAAGAGGCTCCAGCAACAAGGATATAGTACTGGCCTCGTTGGTGAGGGCTTGGTTATTTTTTGTGCCCGCTTCATTTTTCCCCAAAATATGGTCCATGAGCACGCCCTAGCGGTTCATGAGTGTATTGATTCAAATGACAGTTTTTACTGCAACCTGTATACCCTCAACTAAGCATCACTTAGTTGAACGAAAGCACATATTTTATATTTTTTTAAAAACTCACAGGACACCACCAGACAAAAATGATACATTGCATATTTAAATGAATCTCAATTTGCTCACAAGTGCATTTAATTGGTGTGAAATGTGGGATTCCTTAGTTCACATATGTCAAAGTGCCGGCCCGCGGGCCAAATCCGGCCCGCGAGAATGTTTTCAGTGGCCCCTGGGATGATATTGATTTATTATTAGAACCGGCCCGCGGACCGCAGCAAGCCGAGAGCCCGCAGATCTTTTACACGCACCAAAACTACATTTCCCATAATGCAACGGTGACGCGCCAAGCAGTCGGCCGCTTTATTTAAATATTTATTCGTCTCGCAGTCGTTCCCATAACAGTGACATTAGCTTTCAGATACCCATCAAAAATGGCAAAACGGAAGGTGGACACTGAGAACCGCGGGTTTCAAACAAGGTGAGAGTCGAAGAACATGTTCATGGACGTAGCTGGAAAACCTGTGTGTCTTCTGGGTGGAGAAAGTGTGGCGCGATTCATTCATTCATTTTCCGAACCGCTTGATCCTCACTAGGGTCGCGGGGGGTGCTGGAGCCTATCCCAGCCGTCTCCGGGCAGTAGGCGGGGGACACCCTGAATTGGTTGCCAGCCAATCGCAGGGCTGTGGCGCGATTGAAATAGTGTAATCTGAGACGACATCATGAAACGAAACACGCAAACAAGAACATGGACATGGAGGGGGAAGGGGGATTTCATTAAAAACGGTATACTTAAAGTTTGTGACGAAGTTTACCCCGAAAAAAAGCAACTCTTTTTAAACGTGAGCATTAGCAGAAACACAATTGCAGTGTTTCTGCAAAGATACGGCAGTGCGTGCTGCGCAGTTTGACGGTTTCCTCCCCGACACAGTGGTCCCGCTGCGCATCCAGGCTGCTCAAACGTTGTCGAAAGTTTGGCAGCACATACGTGTGTGAACAACTATTTTCTTTGATGAAGCTGAACAAAACATCACACAGAAGTCGATTTACTGCTGAACACCCTCACTCAATTTTGAGGATTTGCTCAGCTCAGAGCCTGACCCCAAATATTGATGAACTTGTAGAAAAGTTAAGACACCACCGAGTATCAGCCTCAGCCTCAAAGAAGTGAA